TGCCATTTTACAAACAAACATATATATATATATATATATATATATATATATATACTATATTTATCAGTCTGGCGAGTAAACTAAAAAATTTACTAGCCAATGGCGATTCAATTGCCAAGGTGTTCGTAGAGGGCTGGCTTACACAAACTATACTTCTCACAGTCCCAGCCATTCACTGCGGGAGCCCTAAGAACGCAAACAGTGTTTGAGTCTGAATACCTGCAATAGTGTCTGAATGTGTGTACGTCTTTGTCCTTGGGGCTGAGTTTTATGAGCTCTTTTGACAAGCGCAAAATGACTTCCTGTTTCTTTTAAGCCGAAAAATGAAACAAAAATCCTCAACAGGTTGTGCAACGTTTTCAACCCCACATACTTTAATATCTTGTATTTGAGCAAGCTCTGCTTAAGACGAGGAATGTGGATATAGCAAAATCAAAGCAATAGAGCTTTGAGGTTTGGTCTCGATTGGATACAGAGCCAAAAATACTGCCTGTGCCTGAGAAAAAGTGTTCGAGTATGTGTGGGTGTGTTTGACAACAGCTCATCACAGTCATACGTAGTTCCACTGGACTGGGCCGAGCCCTCAACGGCTATTATTTCCACATCAAAGATTTGTCACATTGACAACGGCTGACATGCACGGTCCAATATCAGTCCTGGCTTCTCCTCCAAAAGCAATTCCTTCAACTCCTCCTCTTGCTTTTTCTTTGCCTCAATCTCTCTCTCTTTTCCGTTACCTCTGTAAGAACTTTCAAAGTATACTCTTCACGTTTCTTTGTCACCCGTGTCACCTCTGCTTCACATGCTGGGGTGGAGAGAAGTTCCTGGATAAAACATTATTCGCTACCTTCTCCAAAGCAACTGCCGTCTGTTGGTTCTCTCTCTGTCTCCTTCTCCAGCTGTCCTCAAAGCAAAGAACGAACACAAGTTTCCCCAGCAACATCCCATATTTCACTATACAGAAAGGATAGCATTCCTCTCTTATAGAAATGTGTTCCTTTTTTAGCTTTCCATACAAATAAGTAGTCTCTGCGAGATGTTCTGACAAGACAGCGTTAGAAAAAATAGAGTAAAAACTCCCTTTAACCTCATTACTTGACAAAACTACTTTAATGAAATTCCAACAAAGAAGCCCAGAGAAGAGATTCCGCACATCATCCATTCAGTACATGATACATTTTTTAAATTCTGTGAGACGGTGTGAAAAACAGTCTTACTCTAAAAAATGGCCAGAAAGTGAATTCCAAACACTGCTACCGCTGAAGACTGACATAAATTACCTTGTTTGTTTACCTGTGTGCTTGTATGAGTGAATAAAATGGTGCATGGCTCCCTTAGGCAAGGCCAAAAAGCCTCCTTAATAAATCTCTCCTAACCCACTTCCATTAATGTTTATTTAATGCTTTTCTATGTGCCTCCTGGCTCTATGCTGAAAGGCAGCAACTACGCTTTTAGTGTGGATTGACTTTCCCCCTCAAGCCCCACAGCCAAACTACATGCATCCCACCTCGGCTCCGAGTGGAAGGTGGCCGCACTCTCGCCAGGCTGGCAACAGGGACCGCATTCATGGCTTTAGAGCACTCGTCCAGGGAGAATAGGGTAGAAAAGCATCTTTTTTTTGGGGTGGTCTATAGGCAAATAATGGCTTGCCATCGGGAGATGGAGGAACGAAAAGATATTTCCAATCGTGATGTGGCAGTTGTTGGTGTTTGGAAATAGCACAGACAGAGAATAGCCCTGCAGTGTATGAGAGGGTCTCTGTTTGCCAGATGTATTGATCCACTGAAAGTGGAATACACTGTTGCACAAATTTAAGGAATAGTTTACTTAAAAAAAAATAAAAAAAAACTCATTATTTACTCATCCTCATGTTGTCCCAATCCTTTATTCTGTGGAACACAAAAATTTCTGAAGGACAGTGAGATATAAATAAAAAATATAAATATAATATAAAATATACAAAATATAGGGCCAGTTTTACTAACAGCTTGCGCCACCGCACACTGTCTTTTTGGCGTTAAAAGAGTACTGTCAGGTTTCGCGCAGTGACGAAATAGAGCTGAAAAGGCGTGGACACAGTTTTTGTGCCTGATCTTATTGAATATGCATTTCTAGGA